GCTTCTTCTGGGGACTGATCTTGCTCCGGCACTTTGGTGGCATTCTTGGAAGTGACTGGACGTGTCGTCGTCACCTCCGAGCGCCCGCCAATTTTAAATGTTTTCGCGGCAAACAAAAATTCCGCCAATCATCATGCATTATTTGCTTATTTGAATCTTATTGGTCAATTTTTTCCACCCTGTTGAAAACTTCGGCTGTCCCTTAAAATCCGTCGTTGGTTGTAGTCAAATATGGTATAACACATTGTGAACTTAAATTCATGCAAGAGGTCTTTATTCTCCACTACAGTACAGTACAACCACAATGACCTAACTTACGCGCCTGCTGCCTTCCTTGGATGTGGTAGCCGTTTCTAAGGCTCCCTCTCCGGAATCATTACGTTCATGGCGGATTACAAAATGTGGTGTGTGTGACGCTGCCAGCACAATGACCGGTATAGCAACTGCTGTCATCATAGCTATGTTTGATCTCGACAAGGGTATACCCAATGTAAGGGAACTACAGCAGTCAGGCATGGAGAGGAGCAAGCCCACCACCGTGCTTCAGCCTTGTACAATGTCCTCTGATTGGCTACATACATTTATTTATAGCCAATCATAAGTTACAATGACTTCATTTTGCAATCTCAGGTACAGTGCGGGAATAAATGTTAAGACATTTCGAAAATAGACTGTTTCTGTACAACGAAAAGCAATGGCAATATTGTGAGAGATGCAAATCATAAAGCTGTGCCTTGGGGAGGTTGTGACCATGATGGCATGTCGTCAGTGGCAATTGTTAGCAAAATGACCAATATAAACGAAAATGGTCGTCGGTAGTAAAAATAGGACATTTGAGAAAATGAAGTATATTTCAAGAAATATCCATCGATTCAACCCACTAGTAAGGAGTCATAGCACCATTGGTCTCAACCACGGCCACACAGCGTCTCGGCATCGATTCCACCAAGCGTTTCATCACGTTGAGGTCGATTTTCGACCACGCATCCTTGATTGCCGAAATGAGATCCTTGACGTCATGGTATTGCTTCCCGTTGGCGTAGATGGCCCTCACGAGGATTCCCCACAAGTTCTCAATTGGATTGAGGTCGGGGGACAACGCTGGGTGCTCGAACATGGTAACATTGTTCTCTTGAAGAAACTGCATTGTCTCTTTCGATCGGTGGATCGAGGCGCCATCTTGCATAAAGACGAATTCGTCCCCGTACAAGAAGTGTGCAAAAGGGAAGAGGTAGTCCTCGAGGGTCCAAATGTACTTGGCAGAGTTCTGGTTGCCTTCCAGAAACGCAATCTCGCTCGCCCCGTCAGCAGTAAATGCCGCCCAAACCATAACACTTCGTCCCCCAAACTTGCGAGAGAAGAAGGACTCCTTGTCGAAACGGAGGTCACGCCAGTAGCATTGCATGCCGTCAGGGCCGTCCAAGTTAAATTTCTTCTCATCAGACCAAATGATCTTGGCCCAGTCGGGGGGGGACTCCAGGTGCTTTTTCGCATGTTTGAGGCGCGCCGCAATGTGAGCCTCTGTAAGCATTGGAGTCGTGTTGCGCTTGACGTACTCAAACCGCACGTTCTCCTTAAGCATTTGTCGGACCCAGCGAGCAGACACAGGCAAATTGAGGTCGCGAACAATGGTAGTGGACGTGGAATCTGGCTTGGATGCAGTACGGTAGATGTGACGAACGTCCGTAGGAGACAGCTTAGACGGCCGGCCGCGCCCAAAGCGCTTTCCATAGTTGGTTGGGTCCTTAAGGAAGTTGGAAATTGCAGTGCGAGAAACGCCCAGGCTCTTGGACATGAATTGTACAGTTTCTTGGTTTTGCTTCCACACCACAATTTGGCCCTTCTGGAACTCGTTCAGTTGCGGTCCACGGCCCATTCTGCGTGCGTGAGGGTCGTGAAGAAGAGGAATACTATCGATGCCTGAGTTCCTGGGTCGATTGGTATAGTACTTTGCATTTTAGAGGACGATGAGTGGAATGTCTTATTTTGACTTCCCACACCGAAAAGGCTAGCCAGTGGCTATACCGGTGTGAAGGATAAGACAGCTCCTATCGGGAGTTCCACCTAGTAGAGCTAGTTGTTGGCAATCGATGGATCTATTTTTAGTGGCAATACTTTCGGCAAAACATAGGAAATGTCCAAATTACCGAATGTCTTAACATTTATTCCCGCACTGTACACTAGCACCGGCCACCACTTGCAGGGGGGCTCCTGCCCTCACAGCCTTCAGCTGATGTTGTAAAACATGACACATTCTATCCATACGTAGGATATAGCTACGCTACACCAGATTTCGTGCATAAATAGCAGCAATAAGACCAGAACGTTGATTTGGAGCTATGTCGGCTTGTGGAGTAGGGGTGGAATTCAGCCTACGCCAGAAACTGACAAGGTGTCGCTGAGGGCGACTGGTGTCATTAAGTACACTGTGCACCACAGCACGTGGCCACCAGGCTTCCATTATAATGCCTTGTGGCTGAGTCGTTGACAAGGAAAATCCATACTCACAAGACTTTATTAAACGTGACACGTTTGTGACAGCGCCCCATGTTTTGTGTTAACGACGAGATTATTGTGATAACGACTAGTTTTGTGTGAAGACAACTGGTTTTATGTGAAAGCGGCCAGTTTTATTGTGATGACAACAATGTACATGCGCTAACGCCATATCTGTTGTGTGTGAATGTAATGTCGTTGTGACGGGGAGATATTACCTCGTACATTTGCCCGTTTCAAACTGCAATTCCGGCTGAGTCTAGTGTTGCTAGGTAATCACCAACGCCGATCAGTATAGCGAGAGACTATATGACACGATGATGCGTTGCGGAGACGGTGGTTTCATATATGAGGTAGGAGCTAGAGGCGCGTGGGTTAATGCGACGAGAGACCAGGCCAGCATCTGTAACTAGTGGTGAGCAGATATAGCATTTTATTATCAATCCAACCGGTAAAACGATTGTAGGCACATCACTACTTATTAAAATGCACTGGCTATGAATTAATTCACCACAGCAGACTTGACCCCAGCGCTAGAACGAATACCTCCCTTGGAGCTCTTCAGGTAGCACACGCCATTGGCCCAGCTAAACGCGCCACAATTACTCGTTTGACGACAGATCGCACAGCAGTCCGCCACGTCAGACGGCACTGCCGACAGGTCGTTGCCCACGTAGTCCACATCTGACTCCAACGAACTGCACTTGTCCACGCGGGCCGACACCACCCCAGACGCCACCTTAGTCTCCTCCCGACGACCCTTCAAGTAGCACACGCCACTGGACCAACTGTACGCATTACAAGCTAGGTTGATGTGGCACGCTGCGCAGCAGTCGACCGCTTGGCCTGCCTTCACGTTCGCGACGTCTTGGCCCACAAAGTCCACGTTTGACTCGACGGCGCCGCACGACGGTGGTCCTGCCAGGAGAAGGCTTGCCTTGGCTCCAACCACAGTCACCTTGGCGCCTTGGGTGTGCTTGAGCCAGCAGGTCCCGCCGTTGTAGTTGTTCCACACGAACAGTTTGCACCCAGAAGTCGCTTTGCAATCCCCACAGCACGCGTCGGCGAAGGTCTGTCTCGTGGACTTGATGTCGTTGCCGACGTAATCCACGTCCGACACAATAGGTGCGCAGGTGGTGGAAGTAGGCAGCGATCCAGCTTTGGCTCCGACCACAATCACCTTGGCCCCCTTGGCGTGCTTGAGCCAGCACGTGCCGCCGTTGTGGTTGGACCACACGAACAGCTTACATCCCGGTGTCTTTTCACAGTCGGCACAGCAGGATTCAGCAGCCTCCTGCTTGGTAGAAGTCAAGTCGTTGCCAGCATAGTCCGTGTTGTCTTCCAAGGTACCACAAGTGGTTGGGGGGTTGGTTGGGTTGAGTACTTGGGCGGACTTGGCCCCTAGCTTGAACACCCAGTTGACCGGTTTGACGACAGCTTTGAGCCAGCACGTGCCTCCGTTGTCGTAGGTAAAGGTAAATGTATTGCATTTTGGGGTGTTGTCGCATTCGTCGCAGCAGTCGTCGGCGCTTCGAGGGGACACTGCCTTGATATCGCCGCCAATGTAATCAGTATCGAGCATCCAAGCGGCACACTTGGGGGGAGGCGGGGGCAGAGTCGGACGGGGGGTGCTGGGCGGAGCAGTCACGGCCTTGAAGACGTTCAAGCGGCCGTAGCCAAAGAGGTGGTTGGGGTATTGCGTGTTGGGAATGCTACCGCAGGTCTTGTTGGGTGGAGATAACGTGTCCGTGTCCACGTTGTTGGTCAGGGCCGTGTACACTTGGTCGTACGTGGCGCCTTTGTTTACGGACAAGTACAACGCCACCGTGCCAGCAATATGAGGTGCAGCCATGCTCGTGCCTGAGTTCCACACCAGACTCGTGTCGTCGTAGATGGCTGCGGACACGATGTCGACACCCGGCGCCGAGATGTCTGGCTTGAGGCGGTTGGTGACGGAAGGGCCCAAGCTGGAAAAGTACGCCAAATGCTCCGTGCTGTCGGTGGCGCCGACGCCGATCACTTGGGGGGATGCGCCTGGGTAGCCTGAGTACGCACAGCCGTTGGGGCCATCGTTGCCGTTAGAAAACACGGGGATGATCCCCGCCGTGCGCCATGCAGTGATCGCATCTTCCATCCAGTATGATGCGTAGTACGCCCCGTAGCTGTTGTTGATCACGTGAGGCGCCTTGCTGCAGTCGGGGTTGCCCCCATCCTTGTCGTGAGGACACAGCAGAAACTGAGCGCATTGCATGAGCTGATACTGGTAGCACAAGTAGTTGCATCCCATGCAAGCCATCCACTTAGCGTTGGGGGCGACACCAATGCCTTGTGTTGTTCCTACCATGGTGCCCATGGTGTGGGTGCCATGCCCCCACGGATCGTTGGGCAACTCCGACTTGTTGTACGGGTCGAACCAACCATATTCCTGTCGCCAGTTCGACTTTAACGACTCGTGGGTGTGTCGAACACCGGTGTCGACGCTGGCCACGACAATGCCGTCGCCCTTGATGCCTTTGGCCCACAGCGCTGGCGCTTGGATCTTCTCGACCCCCCATTGGTTGACCGCGTCGACAGTCAGGCTGGCTGGCTTTACACCTTCCTGGGGCTTTTCCAGCGCGATCACAACTGGCTCGTCAATAGATTTGACTTCCGGTAACGCCGCGATCTTCTGGACGAGGGCGTCGGGGACGTTGTCGATGTACATGGAGCAGTCGATCCATGTCGTGGTCACTTTCATGGCCGTCGACTCCAGTTGGTTGGCCATGAGCGACTTGGCCGACGCCTGAGACGTGGTGGTGTGCTCCTTCAACGAATCAACCAGCGACTCGATGGTTTCGGTGCGAGACGCGCCGGCCTTGAGTCGGCGGTGGTGGGTCGTGAGGGCCTCGCCACAGTGAAATTTGACCACAACGTTCGACTGCTTGGCGACTTCCAAGTTGCGATGCACTTGGACCGAGATCTTGGCCGTGACGGCGGTGGCGGCGGCGAAGGCCACAAAATGGTACTGAACCATGATGCTGATGGGTCAATGGAAATTGGAAAATGATGACATTGTGATGCGGTGATTGTGGTTTGGAATTTTCAAGTCCAAGGAGAGAGGTACACCTTGAAATAGATAGTTCGCTCATATTTAATGTCATGTTGCTCTACTCAGTAGATTTGTATCGACGGTTCTTCAAATTAGCTCTTCATCTGGTATAATTTGAGCACTTTTACGATTCGCGACGAGTAACTGAGCTTACCTGGTACTGTACTCGTAGTACATAGTATACTCAACACGAGACTCCTATGTAAGTTCTGTCGCAGCGGCTGTCCGACTCGTATTACGCAAGATATTAAATGCAACACCAAACGCCGCATAAGCTTATAGCCCCATCATGCCTGTTGGCTTGCTGCTAGTAATTGTGTATCGTTACCAATGACAAAATCAGTACAGTACCCAACCGAATTGAGACAATGTGATCACGCAACGACCACACGCGAACAACGGCCATACGCGAACAACGCACGACATTCCAACATGCCGTGTGCAAGGGAGTTGAAAATTTCCACCGATGTGCAAGTTGGTCAGTGTAGAAACGCCCTACTACTGTAGTGCAGAGTACTACTACTACAATGGAAGGTATAGCGTACGATGCATGACTTTGTCTATTCATGGTGAACCGTCGGTTCACATACGAAAGAGTGTTTTGTCGACTCCAACAGCCGCAACTTGCCATGCACTTGGGGGGGGGGTCATTCACTTGGGAGTACCAGGGACGACACTCGCCTTTCGTCTGCAAACCGGTATCAGAGCTAGACCAGTGCGGTTCGGCGCAGGTCGTAAAAAGTGCGAACAATCGTTCGGCGTCCTGGAGTTTGAGGCCTTGTTCGAACTGGTACAATTCCCTCATTAACTGTAAAGCAGTTCCACTGCTGTTTTGACCCGAAATACTGTTTCAATGAGATTTATAAAGAACTTTGTATGCTCAGACCACCTCACCACTTACTAGGGGTTAAGTGCATTCCAGTGGTTAGCTATCGCTAACCACTAGCGATGCAGTTATCCCCGGAGATTTAGCATCACCGGGGGTAAGCTTAGGACGGAGTCCCAGGTTACAGGGCTACTGGCGAAAAGGTGTATCCGGATGTAATAATTCTATCATTGAAACATTATTTGGGATCAAAAAAACAGTGGAACTGTTTTACTGTTAATGAGGGAATTATTCTCGAAATTGTGACGTCCATCGTGAATGTGTGTTATCAGCACCGTTCATTCTTCTTCGCGAGATCTATCTGTACTATTGATATTGATATTGCACTGTAAAGTAAAATCACTCAGCGGGCACTTAATGGCCTCGGCCGAGTACTAGCTGCGTTAGCAGCTAGCGGACTACTTGAAAACCTAGTAGTGTCGGCTCCAGGGTAAAAGGATGCTTAAGCCGCTGGAGGTGGTATCCCGGGGTCCGGGGGAAATCATGGTGGCCGAAGTGTTGGGTCGGCGTAGACTACGGGAGGGGGGAAGGTGGGTGGTAGTAAGGAGATTCTTCGCGAGTGCCAGTGGAGCGTCTTGGCTGTGAGGTAGGCTCTGCGGGCGCGAATGCGTCGGTCATGGCTCATGGGGGCGGCATCATGGTAACGACGTTTAAGCCAGATGTTGTTGTTAACCTCAGTGAGGGGGTGCAGTTCCCCTGTGGTGCGTATGTGGTCCATATTACAGTAGTAGTGCATGTGAATTGCCAGTGTCGGCGAAGGGCGGCCCAGTGCACCGTGAACCATTGAGTATGGAAACGTGGAGCGTGGAGGTGGGTAATAGAGGCTGCCCAGGATGGTGTGGTGTGCGTCTTTCTGTGGAAGGTTTTTCAGCCTGAGGTAGCCTGGTAGATGGCGGGAATCGTAGCCGTAAGGTATGGGCGAGCGTCGAGGGCATATTGGTCGTAGACGGGGGTGGAGGTTTGGGCCCAGTGGAGGCAGTGTGAGGGGCCACTAAGTACCCGTGGGGTGGCTGCTGTGGTTGGGGGAGGCCGACGCAGCCAATGGGTAGGAACGATGAGTTGAAGTGCGGCTATCCAGTGCTGCTGGGCAGAGGTGAGTAGGGCAAGTGTGTTGCCAGTGGTGATGAAACCAATGTGGACTGGAGCGGGGTTGGCAGAGGCGAGTTTGCCTCAGGGGGGGGAGTGGAGGTGTGGTGGATGGAGGAAACGTGGCGGAGTATGAGCCGTCTCGGGGGAATGGTGAGGAGCCATGTTGTTTGTAGCTGTTGAACCATTATATGACTGCCCGAGCCATCGGGAACGACAAACCAGTAGGTGGCCGGTGTTTGATGAGAGATATCGTCCGGTATTGCCGTGGTTACGAGGAGTCACCAAGTGGAGGGGTAGGGGTTGTGAGAGGCATCTATCCACCAGTGGTGGTTTGACGGGGGGCGAGGGATTATGCAGTGGAGGGAGTGTCCAAGTGGGCCCTGAAAGGTAGCACCATTGGGGCCCATCCACTGACCAATCCAGAAGTGGCATGGTGCAAGTAGGGGGGTGGAGCGCAGTTTGGTAGAGCCACCACGGTAGTTTGGAGCCCGGCTTCGGGCACTGGTGAGATTCCGAGGATAGCTGGGAGGCGGCGAGCATGAGGGATACTGGTCGGGGGGATCCAAGTAGGCATTGCATGTGGATGGCATGGACGCAGCGTTGCGGGGTAAGGGGGATCATGCACGTACTCGTGTTGGGGGAGGGGTTTCCGCCGCGGGTTTTCCATTGAGGACGTTTGAATCCTGGCAGGAGGTGCGCAATAGCCGTGCAGTGTCCAGGAATGTAAATGTCTTGGTCTGGGAGGCAGGCTTTTGGAAGGACCGCTTGTGTGGCGAGGAGGATCTGTTGGGAGAGTGGAACAGCCATGGGGCATGTGGGAATCGGGGCACGTGCGGCAGTGTGCCTCCCAGCGTGGTTGTATGGTGTGTAAGGTGTAGCAGATAGCACGCCAGTATAAGTTGAGAGCAGGGGGGTCCCATTTACAGATGTCCCCCGTGGGGAGGCGGAGTGGCTGGACGGTCCGGCGGCGGGTGTCGGGTTTCTTGGCTTGTGCCTTGGGCCAGTCACGTCGACCATACACTGAACCCAGCCATGGGGCCGTCGCTCGAGTGACCGGCCTGTCGTGTTCACCACGGAGCTCCCAGGAGTCAGGGATAATGAGGTGAGCATAATTCGTAAGGGGAAGAAGCTGGTGTGCCAGGGTGGCGAGGGCGTCCGCTTCGACGAGCAATGTGGGTTTTGTTCGGAGGATTGGGTCAGGCATGTCCTGGTGCGAGCGGATCTAGTCGACTGTAAAGGTTCTGGTGTCTGTGAAGAGAGCCATGAGCGAACGTAGTTCCACCCTGTGGATGTTGCTGTAGCGCGGGAGGCCGCCGCGATGTTTTAGGGACCGGGTGAGAACAACCAGTCCAATGGATTTGGTGTTGTCGCAGATTTGGAGCGCAGCATCTCCAGATTGATGGAGGCCAGCCAGTATGCTGTGGAGTTCACAGCGCGTGGATGTGCTGTGACTGGCGTGTACTTGTATGGATCCCGCGAGGGTAGTGCCGTCTCGGCCCATGTAGCTCCATGTCCGTGTGCAACCGGGGTACCCTGGTGCATGATACTGCCGTCACCGACGGCATGAGTGTGCATAGCACGTAGGGGAAGGGTGTGGAGACCGTAGGTCGGGATGCTGTGGTGCGGAACGACTTGGCAGTGTGGGATGCACGCCATGTGATACCATTGACCACAGTCGAGAAAGATAGTAGTGTCCGCTAGGCGGTGGCAGGCGGTACAGGCCGGCGATGCATGCGGGGGAGGCTGGTGCCCTGTAGGGGTCGGGTCCAGGTCGGTGGAGCTCCCCGCAGTTGAGGCAATGAGGGTACGATTATTTTCCCCTTTGTGGGTGATATGTGTGCTGGGTTAGTCCAGGACGTGTCGGTCCAGGGAATGAAGTTGAGGCGTTGGGCTCGGCTGGTGGGTAGGAGGCTGCCGGTAAGGACCGTACAGCCCGTAATGGTACCAGTCGGTGGCGGCCGCGTGCTTCGCGCGGTGTTGGGGTGTACCAGATGGCGGAGTCTTTATGGAGTTCGTGCCAGAAGGCGACGGCAATTTCAATGCCCGCTTGTGTTTGCTGGGTTTGGAGGCTGGTTCAACGTCCGATACGGTAGCTAAGGGTGGGGGGGTCGGTCATCCGTTTGGGTAAGGTGGTGGGGGATTACTAGCATGGTGTGGACAGTTAGTGTAGGGTTTCGTAGCCCTGGGTGGGCCCAAAAAAGGCGGCCGAGTGGGTGTGTGAGGTACGGTACGGATGTACGATGTGGAGTTGGCAGTGGGGGAGGCAGGGGTTGGGTGGCAGGGTGGGGGGGCCACTGTAATGTTTGTTGCCGGAGTGCCAGTGGGGGTGGGTGGCTCCGTTTTGGGGATGGCGTCCCAAATGGGAGCAAACCGTTGGAGCGTGAGACTGGTCCATAGACGCAAGGCTAAGCAGCATGGTGCCTTTGTCGTTGGTAATGTCCCCCACCCAGCGGACCTTTTTTGCGTGGAGCCTGTTGATGGAGATGAGGGTCGTACCCAGGGCTGGGGTGTGGTACGCCCAGATTGGGTGGTCATTGGGACGAAGAGAAAGGCTGTCGGCAGGTTGGTGCCATAGCGTGGTGATGGTGAGGGCTGGCTTGAAGATGGCAAGGTCCCGGGGTATCGTGCCAAGAAGAGTGGCGTCTGCGGCAAGTGGGGGTATGCGGAAGGCGGGAGGGTGGTCGGTAAGTCCGCTATCCAGTTGGTAGGCCTCGAGTGATTCCATGAGGAGGTCATGTGTAGGTGAGACACGGTCGTTGGCAATACGTAGGAAGTGGTAGTGGCGTTGGCTGTGGCTGAAACGTTCGCAGTGGACCAGTCCCAGACCATCGGTAGGGTCGAAAAACCACTCGGTGGGATGGTCGTGGGGTAGCTTGAGGACACGGCGCGCCGTCTTACGGAATAGGGTGTCAAGGGCTGGGACTAATGGCATCACTGATGGCAGTGCGGTAGAGGACACTCGGTATCCAGACAGAGTTGACGATGTACTGGAGTTCTTTCTTCCCGAGCCTCCTGGGGGCACCTGCATCGGCTTGGGTGCTGAACCTCTGCCATACCGCACGCGTGGTCTCTTCCCATTGGTTGTCGGTGCCTTGATGTATACCTAGGTGGCGAAACCCTTGGAGGGTGCTATCACGCAAATGGGTTGTGGAATGCCAAGCCCATCATTAAGGGCAATGTCCGGGTGTGCGCGTGGGGAGAGGTAGAAGAGGAAGGATTTGTCTGCCCCGAACACGCTGCCAGATGCGGATTGGCCGGTGAAGTAGTTGGAGATGCCGGCCCGGTCTTGGATGCCAGCATATGAGGTAGAGATGTCAAGGGTGTCGTCCACGAAGAGGAGACTGGAGATGGTGCGGTTTTGGGCTCCCTGCTGTGTTGGCTGTGGACATGCGGACAGGGTCGATGCCACTTTGTTCCTGGCGGAGGAGAACGTCCATATATCATCTAATGTGCATGACCGCTAGTATAGAGCCTTGGCCAAGGCCAAATTCCTGGATGCCTCCATCAAGCCAGTCGAAGGCCGTGCGGATATCAATTTGGCTAGCCCCAAGGAAATGGGCCATGAGTTGGCGCGGTAGGAAGGCGCGAGTTCACGGTAGATGTATTCCATGACCCAGCCCGGGATACGATCGAAGCATTTCAGGCAGCCTTTGGAGATGAGAAAGAGTTCTTCCTGCCGTCGTTCAACGCGTTCAATAAGGAGCGATGTGAGGACAGAGGACAGCCGCGTCCTGAACGGTACGGTCTCGCTGGAAGCCATGTTGCATTTCATGGTTGGGTATACAGGGGGTGATATAATCTCATATAACGGTAAATATGCGGCTACTGAAGGCGCTTTGGACCGTGATGGGGTGCCAGGCTGGGAGTCCGGGGTCGAGGTTGACGACCCCTTGGCTGTGTCCGATTATCCCTTGGCTGTGTACGATTTTGCATAGGTAGGTCATCTGTTTACGTCCTAGGATCGGCGGGACGAGACCTGTGCGGAGGATAAGATTGATGATCACCCGTTCCCGATCGCGTATGCATGCCGGGGCACCGATCCAGAGTTCATGTGAACGCCCCCATGTTCTGGGGAGACGCGTGTACGAAGACTGCGTTCGCAGCGTGCTTGGATGTCTTCATCATAGTGGTACGTGTCCCAAGTGGTGCCCTCAGGGGTTTGGAAGGCATGTGTGACCTCGTCGGGGCGATCGACGTCATGGAGGAGCCAGTCGCGGACTAATTGTGGGACTTGTTGGCGGTTGGCTTCCAGACCTGTGTCAGGTGCCGGGGGCGCGTTCTTTTCTCAGCAGGGGGGATCCTGTTGTCGAGAAGATGGTGTTGTCCCGCAGCCACTTCGTTACTGTCAGAACTGTACCGCGGGGGCCATCGTCGGGACGGACAATGACGCTCTGTATAGAGATGGGCGGTGCGGTAGTACCGAATGCCGAGCGGAGGAATTTCCGGATTTGTCGGCTTTTAAACCATGCCGTACGTTGTTGCATTCGTGTTTGGCGTAGGCTGGTAGTTCGACAGTCCCTACGTTTGCGACAGACGTTGGTCCAGCGTGCGAGTCCATGTCGGGGCCAGAGGTCCCAGTCGTGGGCAGGGTTCTGTTCGGTAGGCATTGTAGTCCACCATTTGCCAACAGCAATGGCTCCAGCGCGGTGCCAGCACGAGGGGGGAGAACGTTGGGATTGCGGATCCACTTGGGCCATTCCACTAGGTGGGCAAGTCGGGTGAATTCTGTGCCAGTGTGCAGGTTCGCCTCATGGAGGCGAAACAGTTGGCGGAGATGCGCGGTGCACTGGTTGTTTCTCTGTATTTCGACTGCCCTGTTGAGGGCTTTCCTGGTTTGGCTGGTTTCTCCCCATTTGAGTTTCGCGCTGGTGTAGAGGATGTCATACAGGTTGCGGACGGCTTCGTCGAGCCAGTCCACGATTTCTTGGGGGGACCACGTTGTGGCGGCTTTGGTGGGGGGCGCGGGGGTTAGTTGGGGTAGTTGACCCTCGAGGAGGAGTTTTGATGTGTGCGCGCCGAAGGAATTAATTTCAACCTTTGCAAGGTTGCGGGTGACTGCGCGGATGGGCTGGACCCCAGTAAGTCGGTAGGGAGTGTGATCGCCGGGGAACAGGTCAATGGCCATGTATGGAGTGCCTGCATTGTCACTGGAGTGGATGGTGTGCAGCCAGATGCCACTAGCTCCCATTTTGTGGGCTGTTCGGGCCGAGATGTATATGTCGTCTAGAGCAACGGTTGTGTTGTTGCGGGCGTATGTGTATCGTTCGAAGTTAGGGTGGCGGTGACGGAAGGTGGTGACGAGACCCATGCGCTGAGACCATTGTTGGAAGGCGATGCCGATATCATTGTTGGGGCCAGAGCGTGGCGTTGGAGAAGACCGATCACATCTGTTGAAATCGCCGCCCATGACCATAACGTGGTGTGGACCTGTGTCGCGGGTGGCTGCCTGGGTGAGCCATTCGCTGTTCGTGTCCGCTTTGTGGGCAGCGGGATATAGCCCTGACAGTACGTGCCGAGTAGTATGACCAGTGTACCTTTGCCAAGGTGGGGTGTGATAGCTAGACTACGCCCAGATGGGGAGTATGTGGTGCGGGCATCGATGCGGGAGTGCCAGCGTTGGATATCATAGAGTAGACTCACCCGGTGGTTGCTGATGGCTATAAGGCTGGGTGTGTGTGCTCCCCCGGGTGTTGGGGTCCCGAATTGTTGGGGTCCCGAATTGTGTGGCCTTGTGTGCCGGCAAGTCAGAGTCGGCAATGATGGGGAAGTCAAGCGCGTTGGCTCGGAATCTTGTAGCCAGTTCAGCGCTCATTTTACTATACCTGTTTTTATTGATGTTGGTCGCTGCGATACATAGGCTACCTACCAGCACGTCGTGGGTCGAGAGTGCACCCACATCGCCAATGTAGGCCTCACCCTCTAGGGTTTCCCTGTGGAGGACGTTGTCCCGTTGGATGCGGGCCGTGTGCATGTCGGGCGGGGGGAGGGGGAGGCGCTGGATTCGCCAAGAGCGGCGGCGGCGGCGCTGTCTGGGTGCAGTAGCGGTGGCGGGGGGGCGTGTTGGGAGGACTGGTGTAGGGCATCCGCGATGCGGTGATCAAGTTGTTCGGAGTTGTTGGAGTCATCCGAGGAGGGCGGGTCACGTACTGTAGGTGGTCGAAGGGGTATACAGAATGTAGAGGGTGCACATAGTGTGCCGGTTGTTGTGCCAAGGAAAAAGGTGCGGAATCCGGTTGAGTGGCAGCGACCATGGGGGTGGAGTATGTGGACCAGAGCACAAAACTCAGCAACCACCATAATACAGACCAGGGGGTTGCCGGGGTGTCGTCGGTCTGGCCCGACACCCCGGGGTTAGTTTGACCCTATGGTGTCATTTGGATCTGTCCCCGTGGAGTGGTCTGGCCCGGCTAGGTGGTCCGGTGGGAAGGTGCTGTTGGGAGTGTCGTCGGAGGACATCTGCGGAGGCTGGGTGGGGTACGCGGCTGGTAAGTGGGCCGGAGGGGTTCCGAGTGCAGCGAGGCCAGTGAGTTGGGTGGAGGCGCTCTGCATGGCTTGTATAAGGGTGCGGAGACTGGATTCGATGATGGGGAGGCGTTTGGTCATGGCCTCTCGGTGTGTGCCCTGCTGCGAGACGGTGGTTTGCAGGCGGTTTTGTGCCTCCGTCAACGTGCGCTGGTCCTCGGTTTGTTGGTGGTCTGCAGCCTCACGGAGGCGGCGTTCCTCCAGGAGGCGCGCATCGAGGGTGTTGAAAGCGGCCCTGGTAGCAGAGACTAAGGCTGTGAGGGCTTCCTTGTCGGCTCGGAGGGTATCCACTTCCTGTTGAAGTGGGGCAGTAGCCTGGACAATGTGTTGGCCCACATAGGAGGAGAGTACCCGGTGTATGTGTGGGCCAAGGTCCGTGGACTGGACTGGGGCTGGCATCTGATGTACTGCCGCGAGAATGTCCTCGGGAGTGGTGAGTGTAGGGAGCGGGCCGATGCGGACCTTTGTGGCCACTAGGGTGGCTGCACTGGGGGATAATGGGTGGGAAAAGGTGGAGGAGGGGTTGTCCCAGCTGAGATCACGGAGGGGATAGAACTTCATGGACGGAGGGACCTGGTCTAGGCGGTTTTTTCCCGCCGCATGTAGGCGGTAGTTGGCGTAGACCGTTTCAGCCATGGTTTGACTAGGGAAGATAAGGCGGAAGCGGTAGTCGCCGTGATAATCTACGTGAAATATGTCGCAAAATATATCGTGATAATACCTTAAGGAAGTAATCTTCGCGGACGTTGTCGACGCGATCCTTGACATGGAGTTGTCTTCGTGGACTTGTTGCAGTCGTTGTCTACGCGACAAATCTTGTTGCGGACGTAGTCTACTCAAGTGCTGATTGCAGTAGTCGACACTCTACCGTATACCCCCCGCTTCAGTACCTATGATTTCTCCGATTGGACCTTTACCAGTTTGGAACATATCGGCCAATGACGAACATCTTCATGGTTTAGGTTGGGCGTGTACCTAGTTGTCTCTAATTGGACAGAAATATCCAATCATCATGCGTTAATTATTTTCATCCAATGAAATATAAGTCCTGTGATGGATTTAGACCAATGCGAATGCCTGAATAGTTTTCAAGGTACGGTTGTCATCAGATTTCACTGACGTTTTCATAGGTACTGAAGCGGGGGGTATACGGTAGTAATCGTTGCAGAATAGTCAACGCGGTATTTGACTTCGCAGTACAACTCTGTTCCATATCTTTTGCAGCATATCATATTTTTTTACTTTTTATCTTAATCTTTGTAAGCAACGGTAATTTAAATACATACTTGTAGTTTGTATACCCATAATAAAAATAGTATAATAAAATAGATCCACAATATTAAGGATGAAAAACCAGCAACTTCGTGATCGTGGACACAGTAGACTTCACGGAATCTACAATGTGTTGTAAACATTAGTCGTTACGACAGTCAGGTAGTGTAATGGTAGGTGTCTTCGCAACATTCGTCGCGGTGTTCTTTTCGGTCAACACAGTCGTATTTCACACAGTCTACCTTCGTGATCGATGTCACGGTAGTCGTCGCGGAAACCTTACGATAGTCATCGTGGGTATGTCTCGGTCGTCAAGATGTTAATCTTCACCGTGACCCGCCAAAGGAAGCAGTAGTAAGGCTAATAACCAGTGGAGAGGGCAGGAAGCAGCAGCAGACACGTGTGTGGATGGCAGAGAAAAACAGCCAATCAGAGTAGACTATGATTGGCCACGACATCTGACATCTGTGATGTTTCGTGACAAATGTCTGCGCTGCCTTCTACCTGAGGAAAAGCCTCTAAAAGGCCCAAAAACCTCCTACACAGCTAGCAGAATGCTGCTAACTGGCTGACAGGGCAGTGGGGATGTTCTCAAACAGAACAGGGTGTTCTGACTAAGAGCAACTTCATTTTAATATGACGAAAAGTTACGTTTTAACTGCACAATTTTATTACTATTACATGTGACATTTGAGGGGTCAACGAAGTTCGAGATTGTCAAATGGTGCTATTCTCTCGCCTGTGTTCACGCCTTTGTCTCGCCTATCAAGTCTCCTAAACTCTATCGCCTATTCAATCAACTCTGACAGGCCGAGACAGTCAGAGTTGACAGACTAGGCGATAGAGTTTGGTCCGCTTTATACCTGCATGTTCTGTATATTTTTCATGTCGCTACCCTACCCTAGTGATTTCTCATCCAATCACGGCTCTATCACAAGGTAAAGAGCGCTGATTCTCACACGTCAGTGTTTCCCATTGAATGAATTTTAGCCAATAGGAACGAAGCTAGATAGTTTGTAAACGACTGAATGTCCCTTTTCGTTTTCCCCTGTCCCGCACACTTAGTTTGTCTTGGACACTCTGCGCAAAGTTGCTACACGCCTATCAACCATGCCTACATCCTGTTTCTTGCTTCGTGACAGGTTATGAGCCGTCCTGCTTCGACCATTACCGCCTACTCCGGCATTCTCCTCGACGACGCCTACAAGTTATATGCTGCGTGGCGCACCACGTTTGAAGAAGCGGCTGTTACCGCAGGCTTTTTCTCCCTTTACACCAACGAGACCTATTGCCCCACGTGCATTGAAACCGACGCCTACACTATAAGCCAGGCCAAGCTCCAGGTTGACAAGATCCGAAACGACGCGAAGTACTCCACCGACGGTTATACTGGTGACGCCTTGGAACAGCACCTTGCAACGGTGAAACACCTCGAACAAGACTTCACGCGCAAGTTTCTGGATAAGTATATCGCGGAGTCCATCGCCGCCCTACGCGTCCAAGCTAAGGCATTCCTTTTCAACCCCCTCACGCCTATCCTCCAACAAGTCATCGGATCCTACGACTCTCCCTTCTCTCTCTGGGCCGCCCTTGTGGCACGCCATGAAGCTGGCATCCGCGACCCCATGATCCTGTTTGCGAGCCTCACCCAACTCAAGTACAGTGAGGACATCAGTGCCGAAACCCTCTTCACTACTCTCGACGACCACATCAACTTGATCGAAACGGCAACTCTCCCTGCGAATGCCGACACTCTCACGGCTCGCGAAGTTCATGTGAAGTCTTTTGGGCTCCTTCGTACTCTCTTCTACTCTAACGCCTTTGTCGCCAACAAAGACGTGTGGGACGCCGTTTGCCAGTTCCAATTCAAGGCGCGCGATGATGGCTCCGAATGCACGCCTACTGCCATCAAGGCTACTATTCGCCACACCTTAAACATTGCCTCGCACTGCAATCTAATCCTCTCCTCTCGGATCAAAGCTCCGGTGACTCCAAATCCCGTCGACACCAAGTTGCTGCTGCCGCCACCTACACTACGCCTCCAACCACCTTGTATGCTACGCCTTCTGGTACCCAACCTCCGCCTACCTATACTGCTGCTGCTGCTGTCCCTTCTTACTAGCCCTCCACCTCACCCTCCTGCTGCCGTTGCAGCTGCAATCATGGTATTTCAGGCTAACCTAGCAGCTCATCCTTCCCTTAGTGATGCACACCCATTCCATATCAACTTCGCCACGCCTACTCCGTCCTCCATTTCTACGCTTGAGTCTACCGTCCAAGCCGCGGCGCGCTTCGAAGTAATCGATCAATTGCACATCTATATTATTTACTTTGGACGTTCGCCTCCACACTCTATTTTCAAGTCTCCATTAAGCAAGGCTGTACATTTCTCATTACCGCCTACCACCAAGCTCTCTCCCCCAACCCCAACGCCTCGTCCCACTTCGAAATTTCCTTCCGTCCACGCCTTGTCCCTCACTTCCAACGTTGTCACCCCAATCCAGTCCGCTCCCATCTCTCCATCTACCAACACACCCCTTTGGCACAACCGCCTCGGACATCCAAGCTCCACCGTTCTCCAAAGCCTCGTCAAGACTTACCCCGACTTTTCCACTGACCGACCACGCATATTCAAGTCCTTCATCTGCGACACTTGTGAATTCGCCAAGTCCAGTCGACAACAGTTTTCTTCCGCAGCCGTGTTCCGCGCCTCATCCTTCCTCCTCCTCGTCCATACCGACATTTGGGGTCCGTGCCCAGTACCATCGATTGGTGGCAGCTTCTACTTCGTCATGTTTATCGACGACTACTCCCGTTTTACCTGGGTCTACCCTCTCGCCTTCCGCAAGGACCTTAATGGCGCCTACGAACTCTTTCGCCTCCACGCCATCACAACCTTCAAGTCTGACATCAACACCCTTCAATACCTACCGCCTACTGATATCGGTAATCTAGGAGCTGACAACGCCAAGGAATTCGAGAAACTCGGTCGCATCATCGGACCCAAGTACTCTACCAAGACCACATTCTCCAACGCCTACTCGCCAGGTCAGAACGCCGTGGCCGAACGCCGCATTGGCCTACTCGTCATAAGATGCGAGCGCTTGTACTGGCCGGCAATCTCCCCAAGTTTCTGTGGGCCGAAGCCGTTATCTACTCTGCCTGGCTCTACAACATATCGCCTTCCACCTCCAACGACGGCCAGTCGCCTTACCATCGCATGTTCTCCCGGCATCCACCCCTCGCCTACATCCGCACCTTTGGCTGCACCGCCTTCGTCCATATCCCAAAGGCTAACCAAACGAACAAACTCGACGCGCGTGCCATCTAATGTGTGTTTGTGGGCCTCGTCTTCGTACGCAGTCTTTGTTATCCGGATTCCCCAGGGGAGGGACGGACAAATCCTTCCGGGGATCGAACCCACGACCTTTGAGTTAAGAAACCGATGCTCTACCACTGAGGTATTTTCCCTCCCCGTACTTGCCCGAATCTACTCCAGTATGAGCAATACCGGTAGTCCCAGCGCGTTCTTCGTAACCTGTGAATTGATTTTCGTTCTCTCAGGTCAAATCCTGCTCCCGTCATGATGGTCGTGATGGTCGATCATTTTCATATATGTACTACTTACTATTAACAGAAAGGCCACGGGAACTATAATCACTTTTCACGGTAGGAAAATGGAGGTATCGAAATCGAACTATTCCCACCGTCTAGCAGATGCCACCGCCTTCTCGGGATTCACAGAATACACCTTCATGAACACGCGTAAATACTTTCAAGTAGAAGTACGAAGATCTGTGCGAGTTAGAGATTCTTCCGTGTGAGCCAATGCTTCGCCATCATGCGATTGTACTAGAACGTTTGTTGGACAAATAAAAAAAACTCCTTTTGTTTCATCCAATTACATGAGAGCAGCCACATCAGCGAACTTAGACTCTACCACTAGACCTCTAACCCAGAGATGTAATGACTGAGTGGCTAAGAATGGGCTGATGACCCAGTGATAATGTTTTTAAGGTTATGAATCGTCGCTCAAGCAGGAAATATCCGACGAGGAGACGAGATCCCCAACGAAGTGATCGAGTCATTTCCAAACTCTACCCAGTGTTCGCCCAAGGTATTTAGGTGTCAAAT